AAGGCTGTTTACTCTCTCCCTTCCTTTTTCTCATGGTGGTCGACTGGATTATGAGGACCTCGACATCTGAAGGAAAACACGGCATACAACGGACAGCTCAGAACCAATTAGACGATTTGGAGTTCTCAGATGACGTAGCCCTCCTATCACAGATGCAGACAAAGACAGCCAGTGTAGCAGCAGCCCCTTCATCAGTAGGCCTCGGCATACACAAAGGGAAAACCAAGGTCCTCAAATACAACATGGATAACAGCAATCCAACCACACTTGATTGAGAAACTATTGGAGATGTAGAATCATTCACGTACCTGCGAAGCATCATCGATGATCAAAGAGGATCTAATGTAGACGTTAAGGCGAGGATTGGCAAAGCAAGGGCCCTATTCCTACAATTCAAGAACATGTGGAAGTCAAAACAACTGTCAACCAATATCAAAGTGAGAATCTTCAATACCAACGTCAAGGCAGTTCTACTGTACAGAGCTGAAACTTGGAGAACTACAACAACCATCATGAAGAAGGTACAAGTATTTATAAATAATTGTCTTCGCAAGATACTCAACATCCATTGGCCGGATACCATCAGCAAAGACCTACTGTGGGAGGGAGCAAACCAGCTGCCAGCTGAAGAAGAAATTAGGAAAAGACGATGGAAATGGATAGGAAATACATTACGTAAGTCACCAGACTGCATCACGAGGCAAGCCCCCACTTGGAATCCTGAAGGGAAGCGGAAAAGAGGAAGGCCTAAGAACACATTACGTCGGATAATAGAAGCAGATATGAAAACGATGAATTACAACTGGACGGAGCTGAAAAGGGTTGCCCAGGACAGGGTTGAATGGAGAATGCTGGTGAGCGGCCTATGCTCGTTCACGAGGAGTAACAGGCGTAAGTATGTAAGTAAGTAAGGACTAGACTTTTGTTAACTTTTACATAGCGCTATGTATCTATTCACTGTTGTACAGTCCTATCAATAATCTTTTTCAGTATTCCTAAATTAACGAATGCATTACAGCTTATGTTCATTTCTCTTTAATTGATTTTTTTATTAGAAAACGAATTAAGAAATAAATGAGTCCTCAAGATAATCACTTATGGAGTAACTAGGAATACTAACGCCTGAACTTATTTAAAATCAATATTTGACGTTTTGAGAGATGCTATCATATATCATTGAGTACTGAACATTTAGATTATATTGTTCAATATTTCGTCAAAGGCACATGCACTCAGCATCGAATCAGAAATTTGATCTTCAGTATATAAACTCAATTAGAATTGGATTGAATTGTAATGTATCATATTGTGGTATGTACTCATTTCAATTAATTAGTTCTCTAGTATACATTCTATTGATATTGGGTAAGATGACCAGAATAGCTATTTTCTATTCTAGTTACATGTTAAGAAATAAAATAAGAAATAACCCACGAGTTACCGGAGTTTCAAAGTCCTGATGTTGATATTTACTAGGAAGTTGTATAACACTCCATTGGAAGAAATATAATTTGATTTCCTTCAATATTATTAATAATAATTTTAAGCTTATTTTTGTTAAGTGGATTGGATTAGAAGAAATAATGTTTTCGAGTGTCTCCTTAAGAAATAAATAATGAAAATCAGTATAGAAAAATGAAAAATCACACCCCTGATTATGATCAAAATTCAATTGAATTAACGCAAATAAGAACTTAAAAAGTCAACTAAACATTTTCGAGTGTTAAGACACCTACGGTGGTGTACAATAATATTGAATGAACTGGTTAATAGAGGGGAATAAGGGATAAAAATTGTGTTTTAGATCGGTGAAATTTTCCTACCCTATCCCACTTTCAGAAAAATAATATTTAATATTCAAAGAGAAACAAGAATCTAATAGATAATATTATACTTTCTCACCATACTCGTTTATAATTCATATCTTTTCACTACTTGAAAGTGTTACATCTTGTTTTAACGAAATAAATATTCAGTTAATCTTAGCTATCTACTTGACAAGTCGATGCACACAGTAACCTAATTCAACAAAATGTGTAATAACTGTCCTGATTAAAGTCATCATTTAAGTGAATATGAAAACAGTTGATAAGAAAGCTGTTACTGAGGCGCTTTATATATAACATAAAAGAAGTTTATTTTGAATAATGATTAATAACGTGAACATTGAACTCGATTCACTTTGAAAAGCAGTTAATAATGATAATATCAATATGTTTAAACTTTATTCCAAAGAAACTGATCATGATTTACGAGTATATCATCAGTTGACATCCATTGATCAGTTTTATGCAAAGCTATGACAGTGTAATGATGGTTTGCATGAATGAGCCTATAATTCTTCGCAAACAAATGAAAGTTTTGCAAACTACTGACAAGCCAGGTCAACTATTGTGAACTGGCACAATAGCAAGCTGACCAATAATTACGAACATCTAATAAATACCAGCAAAAAATGGTTTTTACTGTTCATTTTTGTTATTTTGCCAAATAATGGCATGTTGTACTCATTCGAAGTAAGTAACTAAGTTTTTTAGAACAACATAGATTCTCTCTTATCTACCAAAAGTAACCTGTTGACAATCGTAAGTTCATTCAAATCAGTGTAAGGTTATTGAGTATAATTTATCCTTTATAGATATATCAGTCTTTGTCTACAGTGAATGTTACACATGTGACTTTATCAATTTAACGCAACTGGTAGTTTAATAATGTGATAAGCTTCATCATCTCATTATTCAATCTAAACTTAATAAAAGAACCAATCGTTTTTAAGGAAAAAGCGTTCTGAAATCGATTGATATTTAGAATTATCATCAGAATGGGTTTTGTGGAGATTTTTAAAAAATTTCACTGGTTGAAATCATGAGTCAATTGAAGCTAGACCACCATGGAAAATCTCCACAAAACCCATTCTGATAATAATAATCACCTGCTCACTAGTGACTGACTTCAGGAGATACTCTTGGAGTTCTAGTGAGAAGCCGTTACCAGAGGATTTCAACCAGGTCTGTTGTGAGATAGGAACCCACTGAAGATAGTGGCGTACGGTTGCTCAACTTTGTGGATTGGTTGAAGTTAGACATTAACACTGTTGGATGCCGGCTCAGTGGTCTAGTTGGATAAGCGCCTGGTGCGAGGCATAGATCCTGTGTTCGAATCTCGCAGGGTGCGAGATGGTGGATGGGCACTGCTGAGGGGTCCCATACTAGGATGAATCGGCCGTCCAGTGCTTCCAGGTTATCCATAATAGTCTAGCTTCAATTGACTCATGATTTCAACCAGTGAAATTTAGAAATATCATTAAATATTTTGTTAATTTCCCGTCATATAAAAATTCCATTCAGTATTCTTTTCAGAACCAGAAAGTTGTAAAGTGACTTGGATCAAAGTATGACTAAAAAATAGTAGATCATGGCATTTTGTTATAAAGATGGTAGGATCTTGTCAATATTTTCTGTCTTCTAATTTATAGAAATTTCCTAACTATGGTATCGAAAGTTTATGCTTTAGATAATCAAAAGATATATGCACTTCATCGTTTTCAATTGTCGCAAGTATAAACACACTAAAACACTATAGAATCATAGTCACATAGATTGAATGCTATTATATGTGACCATGAAATGAACACTTGATTTGAAGTACACAAAAAGGCTTATACCTGAAATGACAAATTATCAAACCCAGTACTTAGGATATCTTTCATGTGGTTATTTTACAAGTAACCAACAGTGTGTATATTATTTTACAACTTCAATTTCTATTAACATTATGGATAAAATACATCTATAAGTTAACCTGATTGTCAGTCAGCTGAGAAGTTTGCGATTTTCAATATACTATCACAACCAATGCACTTTTAAGTGTTTCATTTATGTTAAGTAATGGTGTTAAAATAGAATAAACTTTTAATCAGGTTCATTTTCTTTGAGAAACATGATAGATATATAAGAGCAATTGGTAACATCCTGTTAATCCGGATTTTGTGTCAATAAATACTCATTACTAAGATTTACGTGTAATCTACAATGAGCCAGTACTGACTTAAATACTGAAATCTATGTTATTCATCGCAGCTATTATTTTATTGATGACCTAAAACAACATTCGTTTTCGCATTCAATTTGGGACACAAACCGTTGAGTGCTTTGAAAATCGGGCTAAATTATGATGTCGAACTCCATATCCTATCTACATTACTTCGAGTGATTCTAGTCCATTATAAAATTGTTCTTCTTTAGCCAATATTTGAGGAACTCATTTCCTAATAATTACTTACTTTACTTACTTACGCCTGTTACTCCCAATCGATCATAGGCCACCGACAATCATTCTCCAACCCATACTGTCATGGGCCTTCCTTTCTAGTTCTATTCTATTTTTGTTCATTCTTCTCATATCTGTCTTCGTTTCTCAGTCTAATGATTAACCTTATTAAAATTTAAAATTTGCTAACAAGAGCTATAATGATTCTTTCAATTTACACAAGATCAACTAGTGTCTTTTGGTCAGTAATTATACATAAAATAATTATTATCTTATTATCTTATTACCTCTACCACTACGGGATTTGAATCGACAACTGCATCTCTGTGCTAATGTGGTGTGGCAACTCGAACTGATGTACGTACGTACAAAGTTCTACGTTGTTACTGACTGACTGAATTATACATAAAAAAAGTATTCTGTATTTATTATAAGAAAATAATGAACAGGAAGGTGATGGAAGAAATCAATAAAATTAGGAATAAACACAACAGTATTCGAATAATATACTCTGCTATAAACAATTTTATAAACAAATCTTTGAGTGTTCATTTATGTAAATGCTCTATCAATCTAAATGAGAATGAATTCCAGTTAGAAAGTTATCTGAAACATTAACATGAAATAGTTTGAACTGTACACAAGTGTTATTTTCTAACATTGATGAAATAAATAAAGGTAGTTCTATTATACATAAGAAGAAACGAAATAAAATTAAAGTATTCATAAGATTACATAAAATAAGATTGATGCATTGAATACAATTTATTGATTGATGTATCAAATGTTGATGAACCGTTGGTAGTACTGTTGTTTTCGACACTATTATTATTACTATTATTATTATGAATATTGTCATTATTATTATTATCATTTATCACAAGACCAGATGAAGTAATCGGAGTGAATGCTACTTCAGATAATAATGAACTTGATTTCGAATTGGTACAAACTGGATTTAAACAAGAAAATAATTCATGTGTTGAAAATGTTAATGACGAGTTTTCCATAGCCTTACTAGTTGTTGAAATATATGAGATATTTGCAGGATATGGATTTTCTATTTGATTCGCTTGTGGTATATGAATGAATGGTGGTGAACAGGAAGTGGCTAAAGAAATCATTCTTTTTCTGAGAATTTCATCTGGATCATTTTCATTTATTGGTTCATTTTGAAGTGATGTTATATCTTGACAATTATCAACTGTTTTATATAAGTAGGCTAAATTAAAATAATAAAAAAATCAACTCATTTCAGTTTTGTTTAAGTTTGTAAATGAAAACAAAAAGTAAAAGTTAGCAATACTAACAAAAACAAATTTAGATATTAGTTAATTGCAATAGATGTGTAAAGATAACTAGACATCGTACTAGTCGACACTCGTCACCCAAGTGTATTTTCAGGAATGAATCATTTAAACTAGTGATGACATTACAATTTGATCGACTGAAATTGTAAACTAGATAATCCGATATTGATTCCTACTGATCAATCAGTTGATATTCAGAAGTTTATTTGAATAGAAGAAGTAATGCTTCTTTTTTATGCACAAAATTTGAAATTGTAATTGCAAAACTTGTTCTATTGACAAATCAGTATCTTCTGTTCAGACAAACTACAATTTCTTAACCTGTACTGTTAAATCACTTTATGAGTAACACTTATCCTACAAAAAAGTACCCATTTTCTAAGCATAGTATTTAACTGATTGAAGTTATCCTATCTATGAATAACAGGAAATATAAGAACAAGATTTTGTCACAGAAACATAAATAATACAATAGATTTGAATTATCAATATCCAATGATAAATCAATGAATATAGGCGTGGTGGATGAATCGATTTTCAGCCATATAAATTACAGTTCTAACTTATTAATATTACTACATAAATGTCTGTAGATAGTGATATCCAGATGATAGAACACTAGACGATAAAAAGTGATATTGAATTATTAAGGTCTAATTCCTATCAATAACTGTTAGCAGTTTCAGACATAAACACCGAACAAATATGAATTTAAATGAAGATTCCATAGTCAGAATGTCACAGTTATATTATTATTTATTTTATTTGAACACATAGATACTGGTACAACAGGGCACCCGGTACATATGCTCAACACAAATCTCATTTGATTTGTGTGAGAAGTGTGATACTGCCCGGGTGCCCAAACCGAAGTAGGTGGTTCTCTTAGAGGGTCACACCCGGAGCCTTCAACCTAAAGGTCTGATCCACAAAGCAGTGGAGTACCGTAAGAAGATCCAGTCCCATGGTAGCCGGTGAACAACAATTGGTTCATACACCATTTGTTCCCTCAGGATACTGGAGCCCATGTGACCATTGGTTAGGAGTCGGGGTTTTCCAACTCCCCTAGGTGGACTTTCCGTATCCACCAACCTGGTTAAAGCGCCAGACATTCGCTTTTCGTCCCCTCAATTTCGTAAACAACAGTTATGCCGCGAGAAGACAGCGAGTAGGACTTCCCTGGCAGAGGCTACATACGCGTGGCCATGTGAGAGCATTTCGAGCGAACTTTCCCCACTCTCATCCGTACCAGGGCACTTGAGCATTTGTTAACAATTTAAACTTAAATGTTTACAAAATAATCTAACAAAACTTATAGTTGTTATATTGAAAAACATTGGATGGATATTTTCATTAATGATCTAACAAATATGAATAATATTTTTAAGAGAGGATTGTTTATTCAACATGTATTATTATCTGAGAAAGTTGACTGACTACAGCATTATATACAAATAATAACAATAATATTATAATAATAACCTTTCATTTATTGTTTAAATTTAAGCAGATGTAAAACATGATGTTAATTATTCATAATGGTAATTAATTGGTCCACCGTTATATATATATATATATATATATATGAGAAAGGGAAAGGACTCTTTGGAATATTTCAAAATTGATCAGCAAAATTATACATAAATGCCAATCAAAGTTCATTTCAATAGTTTAGTTGAACACAGCTGTATGAATAAATTAAACATTTAGATCTGGTTAAATTTTTAATCATTCGAATAAGTTTAATCTATATTGTTGTTAACTAATCTACTTTTGATAGACAATGTTTATGAAGTTTGTGTCGTTTTGTTTTATAAATAACAGGAAAAATGAGAAAGAGGGGTAAAAAGTTAATAGATACTTTATGAAAGAGAACGAAAAATATCTTCATTATTTAAAAACACTATTCTACTGATAAGAATAAGCGGTAAGATGTAGAATGATTGAGTAATTCAAAATTATAAACTATAATTATTAAGGAATGATTTGAATAGCGATTGTTCCTAAAGAATTATTGTAGCATACTACCTTGACAGTGATTGAACACATGTATTGAACAACTTGTTTCATGTTACAAATAGGCTTAAAAGTTGAAACTTATGATGAGTTTCTAATTTGGAATCCCGATATCATCTTTCAAAGAAATAAATCTACCACAAAAGCATAAATTAAGTAATTTTAGTACAGTTCAAACACTCTACTTCTTTTCAATACAATTGTAATATTAGACTTAAGTTTACATTAACTTACGTATATCTGATATTGTAGGATTTCTTAGATTAAATAACATAGAGTTTGGTGATTGAATTCTAATCATTGGTTCATTATTAATCATGGGATTGTTAATTAACATTCTACGATTTGATTGTTGTCGAGATTCTTGTGCATGTCGACGAGCTAATTTTTTAATCTAAAAGTAATAATAAATATATCAATGTAAATAATGTTATCTTTAATAAAATATCAAAATCTATCAAACATTTAGATTAGTTTAAAGAAGGAAAATAAACCTTCGAAATTGATTGATCACTGGATGGTGATCAATGTCATGTGTGTCAAGTCCTTATTTAGTGCAGATCGAATGCTATCGATCATGTTGCAATGTGGCCACCAGTCTAGGTGACTCGACACTGCGTGCACTATATGTTGAGATTAGATGGTGGTTAGAGATAGTTGATAGGAAACCCTGGACCTGGGTTTCGTGCTACTTGGCACTCGTCAACACTAAATAAGAACTTGACACACATGACATTGATCACCACTCAGTGATCAATCGATTGTGAATACATCTCAGTCCTACAGGAGGTTAGCCACGGCTCGGATAGCTCAGTGGTAACGTCTCTGAATGTGAAGCTGGGTGACACGGGATCGAATCCGTCAGGGAGCATCAGTTCCCTCGAGATTGCAGTATATCTTGATGACGAGTGCCAAATAGCACGGCACCCAGGTTCAGGGTTTCCTGTTGACTACCTCCAACCACCATCTAATCTCAAAAAGAGACCTTATTTGTTGACATTATATGTGAAAATTATATTTGAAGTATTCTCAACGTGTGAAATTTAAATGATTTCATCGTTTCTTCCAGCTAACTTGTCTGGACTTCTTCAGGGTAATGATCAAAATCAAAGTCATCAAAGAAATACATAGTTTCTTAACAATCAAAGCTACACTGTGTTAACTTATTTGTTGACATCATGATATAAAAATTAAGATAATCTTGAATTTATCTTGGTAATCTTTAAGTCATTCTATGGTCTAGGATAACGCGACAATTTCTTATTCTTTCTGTATGATGTAAAACTGTTACTCTCCTCTTTGTTACCTTTTTTACTTGAATTTTCATTTAATTGGCCTTTATTAATTTTCATATAATAAATGCTCTGACATGTATATGTGTGACCAGATTGTTCGAAATGTATAGAGCAAATACATCACATTTTTTAGATCAACTTCATCTTCTCATTGTTCTATCAAAATTTATAAAAGGAACTAATTGCTTTAAGATGAATTAGTTGGAAAGTAATTAAAGTTTGTGAAACCCTGAAATAAATAAAGTTACTTAAAGGAAATAATTTTGTAATTTCCTTAGTAATCAGTGATTAGATAATCATTGAATTAACTGATTAGGTTGTATGACTGATGAGTAATTTGTTGTTAATCCTGTGAAATTCTGTATAGAAATCGGTTACAGCTTTCTGTGAAGTTGAACTTAACAAATCAGTCCATCATTGGCTAAATTCAATTAATATTGTAGTAGAATATTCGGTAATCTACGATTTGAAGAGTGTGTGTTGCGAAACAGGGAACTACAGTTATCCTTATGAAACATATTGATAAAACTCAGTAGCCAAGTGAATAAAGCAATGGCGTTTGAAGTGAACGGTACTGGGTTCGAGCCGCAGAGTGAACATCAACTCAGAAGCAGGTACATCCAGCTGATGAGCCCCAAACAGGACGAAACGCGCATTTTGGATTCCACGGCTAGCCACTATCCATCTTTGCTTATATTGATCGTTTGTTTACAATTTATGTTATTTTGTACGTCAAGTGCGAATCAGTCAGTCAACTTAGTGGATATTATTATTATAAGTTAACACTTTTATGCGACTCAAAATAAACGAAATTTACCTTAAAGATAAATGTAATTGTAAGCCTGACATTAGATTTTGAGTACGCTTTACAAAAATGGGTCTTTTTATATAAACAATGGGTTATAATTAGGCTGATTAATATTTGTTTTTGATGCGAAGTGGTTGCTCACTACTCATTATTAATCATGAATCTTGTGGATCCTAGGGTTTTTCTTCCAATTAGCCAAATTACAAATAAAGAACATGATAACAACGTGGAAATCTTAAATCTTAAAATGTTTATAGACAAGCAATTTGTGTGATTTTTAAAGGTAGTAGATAAACATTGAAATGATGAAGTTTATATCATATTCTGATAATATTCATGACCCTCCATTGATTCTATCTTATTAGCAGTTAGTTTTCCTACGAACTAAATATTTGTTTTCGATACTAAGGGTCCTATTCTAAATTAATAATACTACAAGGATCAATTAACCTATCAAACTGAGTGGTTGTTGTACATGAAAATTTCCGTTTGTATTCCTGATACGTTCAGTAGTAATGCCGAATAAATAGTGCTATGTTAGGAATATTGTATTTTATTATGTTGTTCTCAAATGGTACTCAATGACATACAGAATACTTCATTTTGTTTTTACCGTTTTAATGAAATTGACCAATAGGTCACTTTTAAATCTTTTACAAATGAATACTATGAATATATAGGTATTGATTACAAAGTAATCACAGTGACACTTTACTCAGTGTTCTAAATCCCAGAGTAGCTTAGACAAGTAATTTTTGTTTATATTGACTATTTTAGTTACCTTTAGTTAATTAGCAACTTTGAGAGTAACTCTAATTCAGCGAATACACTATCTACATATTTAACTGAAAGAGTGATCTTCTGATTACCCGTCAAGTTCGTGTCTAACTCAATAGATCAAACAAAAATCTTTGGTCAGCTAATTTGAATAAAACTATATGTTAAATATTCATTGAAATTTGTAACACTTCTACTCCAATCTGTTGATTTATCAATGAAATACACAACAGCGATTCAAACAAATGTCGGTTTTTGCCAAAATAATTAAATTTGTCACCTATAACTTTTGAAAGAAAGAAATTCAATGAAAAGTTTTATACTTAATTATTATTAAACCTATGCTTGATTATTAAATACTGTCGGTGATGGTTGATATTTGTCACCTTAGCCAAACTGTAAAGTACATTCATTTACAGTTATGTGAATGAAAGAACTCCATGAAAGAGTCCATAACATTTTGTTAACAAACCTTGTAAAAATGGAGGAAAATTCTTCAAAATAAAGGTGATATAACAATTTACCAAGGAAACATAACTGTTGTAGTGAACTTAGGGATTTATTCAAGGTTAATATGCTTCATTATGATTAATTTACAAAGCTAGTTAGCAGTGACTTTCAAACTTTCGAAGTTCTTAATAAGAAAGTTTAAAGATCTGTACATACCGCTAGCCAGTAGTTAACAACTTTAAAAATTCATTACTTTTTCATTAATTGACATGAACAGCATTTTTCCAACCTTATTCAACTTTATCCAACGTACTATATAGATCCAACTAGTAGATAAAACACTTAGCTAATGGCACAGAAAATTTGATCAGTTTATGTGCTCATTCTCACTTACTGATTCAGATGTCTTACACACAGTTCATTATAAAGTATTTATCCAAACACAAGTTCATAACATTCGTTTTTAGACTAAATATCTGGTTTTCAGGTTATATATTTATATTCAAAAAGACATAATTCTTTTCAGACAGAAATAATTAATGAATATAATTGAATATTATCATAAATAACAGAAATAACCACCTTTGCACGCTGATTTTGAAACCACACTTGTACTACACGAATATTTAGACCAGTTTCTGTTGCCAAAGCTTCACGTATCTAAATTATTCAACGAATTATTTGTAAAAAGAAAAAAAGAATTTTGAATGCCTTTTCTAATGATAGACAACATATAAATCAGATATAAGTTATTCAACCTTCAAATAAAGACGAATATATAGTTTTATGTCTGGCGTTCCCTGTGGACTATTCAAATAGATTCTTATGTATATCATTATAAAGTCTAATGAGATTTTCTCTAAAACAGATCTGTATCAACTAATAGACCAAGGTATTATGTTCAAACAGTTCGTTATATGAATCATATATTTCATATTACTTTCCCTGAACTTAGGTATCTAAGGCCCATCAACAGTACATCAAAGTGAGATAAAACATCTGAATACTACCATATTCACAAATAACAATTAGGTTTTCTATAACTTAATATTCTCTCCACTATATTTTCGATGGTGAATTTTTTATCCTTAGGCTAGTTAATTGGTTATAGGATAAATGTACCCATAAGTTAATCATGGTACTTGATCATTCTACGCTTCTGGAAATAAATCACTTCATTATGAAGTTTAGTTTGATTAGATCTTATAATCAATTTCTAAGTAAATCACTATGAAGTGAAAACTCAATAGATACAGAATGATGATATGTTGTTCCTAAATAATAAATAAAAAAATTAATATGAATATTCATCATTGATTAAATGAATTGTTTGACAAAAACTGGGTGTTGAATATACCGAAGATACTGAATGTGAAAAATATATTCAAGAGTCTTAGCGATTGAAATTAAAGTAAGTTCAACGTTTCATCTATCAACCCTATCCTGACTTCTTTAAGGTAATAATCAAAATCAAGGTTGTTAGAGGTATGAATATTTCAAACATAAATTTCACATTCAGTGTTTTTACTAAGATTATATCAATCTCATAAAAGGAAATGTCAATCCCAATTAAAATTTCAAAAAATTGTGAGTTACATGTTGGCTTCTCGACTATTTTGGTTAGAGTTTAACAGCTAAGTGATTATGAATCGAAAACAAAGACATAAGGTCAATTAGTTTCTTTACAAAATAACAGTAAAATGACTTAAAATAAATGATACTCGTGCTAATTACAAATAATAATTTAGCTAACGAGTTAGTTTACCTTACGTGTTGGTTTTGGATTGAATTCAAATACAGCTTTGAATCTACGACGTTGATTAGCTGTCAAGATTGTACGTGGTCTTTTAGAATTTTTCCCAGATTCAGAATCACTATCCATTTCATACAGTTCATCATCATCCATCCTATCTCCATCTAAATATTCAAAAATATATGCAAATAATTAACTATATTATTCTGTAAATTTGTATATAAATTTATATCATAAGATTTACATTCAGAAGCTATTGAAGACATGAACTAATAATTACAGCTTTACGAAATAAGCTAAGTGAACGAGTATTCGGTTAGTAACAATAATTATATGAAACTACTCTAAATATTTCTAGAAATTTACCGTTTACCATTAACTGTGCTTGATGTTGAATCATATTGTCTTGTAAACTATAATAAGAATTAAATCTGTGCAGTAATCTTCATGATTCCCTTTACTTAACATTTGTTTTTGTTGCTTAATCGTCATATTATCAACCGGATCAGTAAAAGCTTGTTAATAATGATGTTAGTTACATATCGATGATCAACTAACGTACATACATCAAACTTATCCTTAAGAAATTCATTATGGCTTGTTTTTAGCTATGATACTGAATGAGTAATGTTATAATCATTGTATAAACATCAGTTCTTGTTGTACCTTTGACTAAAGTTATTTATGATTCAAAATAAACAAGTCATCCATATCAAATAAGAAAGATTAGTTCGGCGAATTAGCCGAAAAGAGAACTCTTCGCCGGACTAATCTTTCTTATTTAATGTCTTAATGGGTGTATTCCGTTTACTAAAAAACTAATCCATATCACACAATTGTTATCATTTATATAATGGAAATAATATTTACATTCCTAGTATTTGATAGAAGGAACAAAAAAGTGTCGTTCATCATCGTAATGATATACAAATAAATTCACAATTACTCAACACATTGAATGTATTGTTAGTTGTGAATAACTTCCAAAATGAATATAGTAAGTGGTTAACTTGTAATATAAATCATTATGTATATTAGTAAAAGCAATACCGAATAAGTTAACATAGTAGATTGTATATTTACTCTCAAGAATTGAATAAACCCTGTAAGATTTGAAAGCATCTAGAAAATGTTGATATAACACAAATTGTTTTAACTGTTGATAAGTATTGAAAAATGTTCGGTATTAGTAATGTTTTATGTACATGTAAATGATGAAAATCTAATTCCAGTTAATGATAAACAACTACTAGTACTTACCTTGATAACATCATTAGTAGTTGTGATATCAAGTTTAATTATCTTAGATCTTTCACGAAATACAAAAGTAACTAAACTGCTTATGCATTTCTGATCTTTTTTTAAATAGTATACTAACCAAGTAGAAAAAAGAGAATTTTCAGCGACGAACAGTGATATGTTATAAAGGTTTTTAAAATTTTTACTGAATTAATCCTGTCTGATTACTTTTTGAATTAATGAGTGGAATAATTCTATCTGCAACAACCTACTGTGGGAGAGAACAAACCAGATCTCAGTAAAGGAAGAAGTCAGGAAGAAGCGTTGGAAGTGGATAGAACACACGTTGAGGAAAGTATCCAACTGCGTCACAAGACAAGCCCTCACATGGAATCCTCAATGCCGAAATAGAAGTGTAAGACCAAAGAACAGGTTATGCCGAGAAATGGAGATAGACATGACAATAATGAACAAGAATTGGATAGAACTACAAATGAAGGCCAATGACAGAGTGAGTTGGAGAATGCTGGTCGGCGGCCTGTGCTCGATTGGGAGTAACAGGCGTAAGTAAGTAAGAAAAAGTGAACTAATTGTTATGGTGTTAACAATGTTGCTACTTCATAATGTTTATTAGTCATCAACATTTATTCCATTCATAACAACATAGTGATGTTATGTTGTTTATGACTTCAATTAACCCTAATATAACAATTCTCCCAACTAAAATGAGCTCACTGAGAATTCGAATGATTACTATAGTATTAAGAAACAACATTCATACTTTAAATTCAAATAATTTTAAACATCTGTGCATTAAATATATATTAAAACAAAATCTTACCTTTACTTGAATCATCACTGGAATTCGGTGCAGATATATTGATATCTGATAAAAGAACTGAATCATTCAATAAACTTGTATCAATAGTACTACTAGTTGACTTATCATAATTTCCAATCTCTGATTTTATATCAATAGTCATCAATCGATTAGATTCTTTACAATTCAAATCTGTATCATTTGATTCTTCATTAGAATATCTTTCTTGTTGTTCATTTATTCTGTTATCTTCATTATTTGTGTCATTAGAATAATTATCATTCATGTTATTATTAATGTCTTGTGTACACTTCTCATATTGTATTGATTGTCTAAAAGATTCTTGTAATCTTGTACAAATATTTTGTGATTCTTTATCAAGTAAATATTTCTCATAATCCATTATACATAATGGCATACCATTTTTTATTGTATACTCTTCTCCAGGAGTTAATAAACGATTACAATCACAACATTTAAAACAATCTACATGAAAATAATGAATTAAAACAGATAAATCAAATGAATCTTTTGTAGTATCAGCTTCATCATTTGCAAGATTTAATTCATATTTATTTGGTGTTGATATATTAATCTTAGTTGTATTGGTAGAGGTAACAATAGATGACTGGAATTCAAGTATATTTTGTTTTTCAATGAAATCATTTTGTATTGATGTTGACTTTATACTTTTATATGTGTATAATCTTAGGACAGAATCATCTGATTGAATTAATTGATTGCAACCTTTACAACGAATTCCGAATTGCCTATTAAAGTGAAAATAAATAGTTAAGTTGATGAAATATATAAAGTATGTATATTAAAATGAGATAAGAGATGAGGTCTAATTCTATAGAAGTTTATTATATAATTAGGGAATTAAAGAATCAATCCATTAAGCACAGTTGGTGTCACGTAGTCATAAAAATGATACCTTCTTATAGAACTCAATCATCAAAAATTATCAATCTATAGTCAAAGTATGAAACGTTCAACATCACTTTCAAGACGCCTATTTTAATATTTTCAAGAACCGACTAATGATGAATGTATATTTATGTTTTCTTTTGACGATCACACATAGACATTGTGAATGTATGTACCAAGCCATCAAATCCAATACAGGGATCCAAATTAACATCTGACAAATGAGATATATATAGGCTAAATAAAATATGATGTCAAGTTGTTATTAGTTAATGCAACTGACATACATTTAAACACATTTCCATGAGAACGAATTATTATTAGGTTCAAAATTAAAGCACTCAAATTTATCGGAAACAACATATTCACAATATACACTATAATGTTCTCTATAATAATGATCGACAAATATAAAACAATGGTTAGACAATTATATTGTTTCGGATTGACTTCCTTGAAGTACTTCCAGATTTCTGTTAAGAAATGCTGAATATGCAATAAGGAACCAAACTGATATTGGAAAAGCAAACATATTTTTAAAGTAAATAATAACCAATCATATTAAACCAAAGAAAATTTTACAGATGATATATCTATATAAGATACCTGATATTATACATAATTAAGCATCTATTGTGTTCAAAACTTGTTAAGTTATTTATATATTTAGATAAATATGAAAAGAATAAAAAGGTTCAGTTAAGTGACCATCAGAATATACCTTTGAATATTCTATTATTTACATTCTGTTTAATTACCTAATCATCCAATAGAATGTATTTATCTTTTTGTATGTTATTAGTGTACGTTGATAAATTTTGTCATAGTAGTATAGTTCTATTCATGCCATAAACTATTCTATAAAACCTACATTGACATAAGTTTATTATCAAGAAAATCTGTTATTCTTCTTTGTTTTATAAAAGTAACTAATATTTAAAGACAGTACATGATTATAAGTTCCCTAACTGGTATTTCAATGTTGAAAGTATATACTTTTAAGAAGAATTAAAATAAACATGAATTGTTGTAAAGTAAACATACAAAATATGAGTTGATTCAAGAGAAGCAAATATTAAATACTCATACTTTAGAATACAACACATACATCCCGAGTTCGAATTTCCTGAGGCGGAATCATGGATGCGCACTGATGAGGGGTCCCATACTTGAACAAAACGGCCGTTCAGTGTTTCCAGTTTTTCCATGATGGTCTGGTATTAACTGATTCGTGATCTGAACCACTGAAATTACTGTGATATCCACAAAAAACCCTTCTGACATATTGAATACTTTTATACTATCATATTAGGTTGTGTAATATCAAAGCACTACAATCAATGATTACACTCATTCCATGAAAATTATTCAAGCCATTTACACAACCTTAATATCATTCAAATAATGAAAATTTCTATTTTGATATTTGATAATTAAAGAAGGAATGAATCGAAAAATGAAAATTTCTTCGTTCAATTCGTTCCTTCTATAATTCAAATAAACAGTGAACAAATTCACGAATTAATTCCCTTAATAAAATTAAACTGTCATTATCGATAATGAAAAAAACAAGTCATAGAAAATATCAGAAGGGGTTTTGTGGAGATTTCAGTAATTTTAAATAGTTGAGACCATGAGTTAATTGAAACTAGACCACCATGGAAAACCTGGAAGCATTGGACGGCCCTTTCGTCCCATTGTGAGACTCCTCAGCAATGTGCATCTACGATCCCGCCTCTCGAAATTCGAACTCACAACCTATCAGTCTTGCGAGCGAGCGCTTAACCATTAGACCACTAAACCGGCATCCAACAGTGTTAATGTTTAACTTCAACCAATCCACAAAGTTGCGCCACCGTACACTATTGTCTTTAGTGAGTTGATATCTCACAACAGGCCTGGTTGAACTCCACTGGTCACAACTTCCCACTAGAACTCCAGGAAGGTCCTGGGTTCGAATCTTGCTGAGATTGAGATCGTGGATGCACACTGCTGGGGAGTCTCATAGAAAGCAATCAACTTTTTATGAAATAAAAGTCTATATGATACATATATATATATGTTAATTACAGTTACATAATAGAATGAAAATATCTACTTACTTAATATAATCACTTCGACAATATAATTTTTGATTACGTACTAAACATTTATTATGTAATAAACAATGACATATTGAACATGTAACACATTGTTCATGCCATATATTTTGATCAATACATAATAAATATGGATCCCAAATTGGTTGTTGACATCCAGTACACAATAATGGTATAATATTAATCATTATTATTATTATTTTATTTGTTTCAAAGATACAATCTACTATTTATTTATTAAATTTTACTCAAGATTTATGAACTCAATTTATTATTATCAACAGAGTCAATAGAATTCAATAGATGATAATTGTAATAAGAGAGAGAAGAAAAAAAATAATTTCGTTTACGCTTATTTAAATGCGCATACCTATTCATGAACCAATCAAAAGTCAATAAAAAATAATAATCTATTAAATTATTCCCAATGTCTAACTTCATAGAGATTGGTATTTCTATCATTCATTACTCAGACAATCTACTCTAAATGTGAGACAATAAATATTAGTCTGATAGTAAAATTGTTATAGAGGGGGATTGACAGAGAAAAACAAACCCTAGTTAGATGAATATAATATATACCAATAAAAATTTAGTTGATTAATTAGATTGAAAGTTAACAATTCTATCTCTTCCCTTAAGTGTTATTTAAAATCAACCATCTTTCTCATCTAATATCTATAAAGTTATAAAATTAATTTCACTAGAAACAAACAAATAAAACGTTAACAATAACAATCTACTCATCACTATACAATGAAGGGGGTGTCCATTTATTCATATTTATCTATTTACTGGATTTATTGAATACTCTTAGAATAAATGATAAGATCAAAAAATTATAATTTTAATTAAGAATGTTCATTTTCTGTTTTTTTATTTCTCCTTTTTTTTCTCTTTTTTTTGTCAAATGTATCCATTGAATAATTGAATCATTAAAACAATACAGCTAAAAATGAAGAAAAAAAAAGTTGTGATGTTTTTGTCTGCACGATAAACATGATTGAAAACTAACTAAATACATGAAAATGAAGAGAGAAAAAGAGAAAAAAGCAAAGCAAGAATAAAGTAGAATAAAGAAAACATTAAGAAATGATGTTTAAAAATAGTTTTCTCTTTTTTTTATTATAAAAAAAAGTCAACATAAAGTGTACTAATCGATTTGTACCTCATTTAATATCCAAGGCTTCTATATTGTTTATAAATTGTGTATTTTTTGTTAAGATTGATTAAATTATGAATCAATGATATTTGAATAACTCGTTAGAATATATACTGGCCTTAGTATGAAATCTTGATTGGTAAAATAATTGAAGGAATGGCCTATAATAGATTAGGTATTATTCAGTGATGGCAATAAAAAAAATTCTTAATAAAATCATCCAACTACGAAAACATAGAACCTCTAAAAGCCATCTAGTCATATAAGTTCCATGTAAGTTCTTACAGTGAAATTGATCGTTGAATGATTTAATTTTATAGAACTATTTCATCAAGTAAAAATTCAAAAATTATCAGTTATTAATTGAGGAAACAATCTTCACTGAAAGCTTTTTTAAATAAACAAGTCAAATAAGAAAAAGAAGAATTCAGCGAAGAAAATTTTCTTTTCGACGAAATCACTTACTTAAGCTGTACATTCGTAAATATAGTTAAATGGAAAATATATGTCTATAGAAGGATAGAAAGGATTGTATCACAAGTCAAAATTAATGATATATACTTGAAAATGTGGTTATAAATCCAGCATAAGTCTCGCTCAGTAGTCTCATAATTCCGTAAGGATCGATCGTGCACAGAACAAATCAACAATCACTTGAGTGGAACTCGTCACTATACATCAACTTCATTGACTATGAGAAGGCGCTTGACAGTGTAGATAGAAGAACATTATGGGAACTTTTTGGACACTATGGAGTTTCCGTGGAGATTGTCAACATTATCCGGAACTCATACGACGGACTACAGTGCGAGGTCGTGTATGGAGGACAGCTGACAGATAGATTCCAAGTAAAGACCGAAGGCAGACAAAACTGTCTACTCTCCCACTTCCTTTTTCTTTTAGTGGTTGATTGGATTAGAAAGACCTCGATATGTGAGGGAAAACACGGCATACAACGGACAGCTCAGAACCAATTAGACGATTCGGACTTCGCAGATGACCTAGCCCTCCTATCGCATAAACACGAACAAATACAGATGAAGACAACTGACGTAGCAACAGTCTCTGTATCAGTAGGCTTCAACATACACAAGGGGAAAACCAAGGTCCTCAAATACAACATGGATAACAGCAATCCAACCACACTTGATTGAGAAACTCTTGGAGATGTAGAATCATTCACGTACCTGCGAAGCATCATCGATGATCAAAGAGAATCCAATGTAAACAATAAGGCGAGGATTGGCAAAGCAAGGGCCCTATTCCTACAATTCAAGAACATGTGGAAGTCAAAACAACTGTCAATCAATATCAAAGTGAGAATCTTCAATACCAACGTCAAGGCAGTTCTACTGTATGAAGCTGAAACTTGGAGAACTACAACAACCATCATGAAGAAGGTACAAGTATTTATAAATAATTGTCTTCGCAAGATACTCAACATCCATTGGCCGGATACCATCAGCAAAGACCTACTGTGGGAGGGAGCAAACCAGCTGCCAGCTGAGGAGAAAATTAGGAAAAGACGATGGAAATGGATAGGACATACATTACGCAAATCGTCAAACTGTATCACGAGATAAGCCCCCACTTGGAATCCTGAAGGGAAGCGGAAAAGAGGAAGGCCTAAGAACACATTATGTCAGGAAATAGAAGCAGATATGAAAATGATAACAACTGGAAGCAAATGGAAAGAATTTCCCAGGACAGAGTTGAATGGAGAATGCTTGTGAGGAGTTTATGCTCCTTTACGAGGAGTAATAGGTGTATGTAAGTAAATAGTCTCATAGATCACTGATAACCAACATACACTGTGTTGTTTATCGGTTAATGTGACGTACATCATTAAAAGTTTAAACGTCGTCACAGTATCTTTCACTATTATCACTATCAATAAGTCGTACTTCAAATAAAGATAAATTAAGTCAGTTCTTCTCCTACATGGATCATCAAGCATCATCTACTATTTCCAACAACAAAAAGTACAATATGAATATTCCGGTTAAAGTAGCTCATCTACATACGTGTCTAAGTAAAATAAACAAAATTATTATATACATCAAGCTCTTATTCAACTCTAAGCATGAATTTTAGAATATTGATGACTGAATTGTTTAACTGATAAGTTTAGTTCATATTTAAAATGTGAAACATTTTTCTCATTTAAAAACATACTACCACCGTCTAAAAGTCAGTCATGATTAGACATAAGATTATTCTTTATAAAGATGTCTAACTATTATTAAGAACTAAGATACAAATACAACATAATATAACTCAAGTCAAACTATAGTCATACTATTTTAATTAAGATCTCAGTATGAGAAATGTGAAAACAATGAAGAAAACATAATTGAATAAAGCAAATTAAATGAACAACTGTATAATTTATTTTAATTAAAAAACAACAACATCCTAATTGAATCGTTAAGATCATGATTCAAATGAAGCCAGATCATCATGAAAGACTTGGAAAGTACCAGATTGAATATAAAATAAAACAATATTTTGTAATATATTAAGCATAAAAAACTGTATATTCATCATGTGAATGAAATACATTGAAAGGTAATATTCATAGTTTACAATTGGATGACATTCTTGATTGTTAAAGATTGACAGACAAATAAATTTTTATTTGATCTTATTTACATTGATAACAATAGTAATGATAAAGATTTATCAATTTAGTAATAAAAATAAAGAAAAAAGTTGGTTTGTGTGATCTGAGAGAACGCGATTGGTTTAATGGAAACAATTATTATTATAACCAATTGTACCAGTGATTGTTTTACTGTACTTGTTTGTTTAACTGTACTAAAAACATCCATCATCCTTCCGTTTATTGTGACCTTGTACGCTCTTACTTTCGTCCACTGATTCCACTTGTATTTCTTTGGCACGATCTCGGTATTCTTTCGATACCACGAGATCGCCAACCTGCAACCGCCTTCTGATTTCTTGTACGTAACCTCCTTGTAGTGGTGTTCATAGTCAAACGCGACTCGACGCCACACTACAGTGTGATCAAAGATAATTAAACTAATTGATCATTTTGACTTATTAAATTATATTAATGAACGTATTTAAATTATAATTAGACATTGTAACTTACTTGTATTCGATAACGAAAAGTTAGAGATAACTGATAAGATGTCATTCTTAAATCAGACTTTAGTCATTCCAAATTTTTGGCAAGTTTTATCTACAACACTGTTGAATGATAGCTCAGTAATCTAGAGGTTAGGCGCTCGCGCTTGAGACTGACTGGTCCTGGGTTCGGATCTCAAGAGGTATGGTCGTGGATTCGCATTGCTGAGGAGTCCCATAGTAGTATAGTATCGGTTGGTATGTTAAGCCCATATACCTTCGGACGGGCTTATCTATTTATTCTACTTGAATCACACTTCGACCATGTTAATTATTCGCTTATCAGCCCTGACTGTTCTTATATGAGCGTATGTGTGTGTACACTTCTTATCCTATTCATCACATGTCTGTAGCTCATTTTTGTGTGACTATAAATATTGATTAACGCTCAGTTAAACGGAGTTGCCTCACATGCCACTGAGCGTCGTGTCACTCTCTCTTCTTCACTTCCTTCGCTACATCTCTCTGACTATCTGTTTCGATCAACGATTGTACAAAATAGATGTATTAAGGAATGCATTCTCGTATATAACTTACTTAATCCCGTTACTCACTAACGCGATCTAAGTCAATAAATATATACGAGGAATGACGATATGTATATCTCAATAGCAATCAGAAACGATCTCACTGGAGTTAGATAGCAGGCCACTAAACTAGGATGAAACGGCTGTCCAATGTTTCCAGGTTCTCCATGATGGTTTAGTTCAAGAGACTCACGAATTCAACTATTAAATTTATGAATGTGTTGATAACATGAAAAATTGAAACAGATTTGGCTAGTGTTAATCATTAATACAATAAATGGTATGTACAATTTGATTAATGGCATTCCCTAATGAAGCTATTACTTGTCCAGATATGACAGTATTCACA